GCGGCCACTGCACTCCAGTCTGGGTGACAGAGGGAGACTCCGACTCAAAAAAAAAAAAAAGAACAAAAATAAAAGTCAAGAACTCGATGTTATTTACATTTAAGAGCAACTAATTGTGGTTCCCTGGCTTCATCAGCAACATTTAAAATGGAATACAAAGTGGATACCTGTGTCTATCATGGCACCGTGTATGTTTTTAAAAGTACTGTGGTGTTTTGCAGGGAAAAAAGAGTCTATTCCCAGCTGGTCTGAAATTTCCGTTTGCATTTTTTATTCTAGGAAATGCTACCCAGAGGTTCTATTAGTGAGGGGGCTTTTGGCCACAAGTAACCGCAAAACCGACCCACTGTGGCTTGGCAAATGGGGGCAGTGGTGTTCTCTTCAGGTAAAAAGGGGCTCAGCAGAGATAGATGCCATTGCTGGTTCACTCAATGATGTGCGGCTTCTGCATCAGCATCTCTCTCGTTCTTTGGCCTCTCCCTTATGGAAAAAGGTGGAAGTTGAGGCAACATAGTATAGTAGGAGAAACGGGAACAGGAGAGAAGGTTAAACTGCCAGAAATGACAAAACAAGGACTGGAGGCTGGAAGAACAGAGATGGAGAGACGAGGAGGAGAGAAAATAGCACTCCCTACTGGAGGACAAAAGAACATTTAAGGACAGAGGAGCTTAATATCCAGTTTTAAGCTATTTTTTGGCTGGGTGTGATGGCACATGCCTGTAGTTCCAGCTGCTTGGGAGGCTGAAGCAGGAGGATTTGGTGAGCTATGATCATATCACTGCATCCCAGCCTGGGAAACAGAGTGAGACTCTGTCTCTTAAAAAGTTTTGGGTTTTTTTTTTTTTTTTTTAATAGGAATCCCATTCTATCACCCCGGCTGGAATGTAATGGCATGCTCACGGGCACCACAGTCTGGACCTGCTGGGCTCAGGCAATCCCTTACCTCAGCCTTCCAAGTAGCTGGAACTACAGGTGCACGCCACCACACCCAGCTAAGTTTTTGATTTACTGTAGAGATGAGGTTTCACCATGTTGCCCAGGCTGGGCTCAGGCAATCCCCTCACTTTGGCTTCCCAAAGTGCTGGGATTACAGGCGTGAGCCACCACACCTGGCCTAAAAATGTTTTTAAAATAAAGATGAAAAACAAACTGTTGTTTTGTTTTGGGGGGTTGTTTGCTTTGCTATGATGTCAATTCCTTTTGCCTCCCTGAACCCTAGGAAACAGTTCACACAGACTAGTTCCAGAGGGCCTGACCATGTGCTGCTCAAGGAGACACAGCTTACTTTGGGTCCCTGGGGACAGAGACCAAGCATCCACAGTCACAGATGCCCATGAGATCACAACGCCAGGGAGTATGCAGAAATCTTGGGGTCTGGGCACCTGAACAGGAGCACGGAATGGGCCCATCCTGGGTTCTTGCTGGGTTGGATAACACATCCCTGTACTACAGAGCTGCTTTGATCTGAGGGTCCTCTGACTCGCAGCCAGAAGCACTCAGCTGACACCCCACAGCTTTCTGCACACGCCCCAGGGTGACACTCGTTCCTCTGCGTGGTGATTTCTGCCGTTCCTGGACACTTCCCACCTCGGGGTTTTTGCACTGGCTGCTCCATCCGCCCTTCCCTCGATGCTCGCTGATCCAGTCCCTCCTTGCCATCCAACTCTCAGCTCAAAGGCCTCTTCTCCAAGAAGCTCTCGCCTCCCACCCACTGGAGATCGGTGCCTGGGCTCTGTGCTTCTATCCTGTCGCCCTATCGTGGCTTCTCCACTTCGCTCCTCACTGTCAGTGATGTGTTGGCCGGTTTCTTGTCTGTCCTCCCCCACAGAGGTGTCAGCTCCACTAGGAGGCATCTAGGTCTGGGTCACCCATGGCTGTGTCCCCAGCATCCAACACACAGCACGGAAGGACCAGGAATGAAGCTCAGATCTTTTTTTTTTTTTGAGTTGGAGTCTCACTCTGTCGCCCAGACCGGAGTGCCGTGGCCACTCCCGGCCACCGCAGCCTCCACCTGCTGGGCTCCGGCGATCCTTCCGCCTCAGCCTTCCAAGGAGCTGGAACTACAGGCACGCGCTACCACGCCCGGCTGATTTTTAAATTTATTGTAGAGATGAGGTCTCGCCAAGTTGGCCAGGCGGGTCTCGAACCCGCAGGCTCAGGCAATCCACTCACCTCAGCCTCCCAAAGTGCTGGGATTACAGGCTGAGCCACCGAGCCCGGCTGAAGCTCAGGTCTTTATCTGATGCAGCATCTGTACCTTCAAGGAGAGCTTCCGGTAGCCTTCCCCTACATCCCAAATAGCCACAGTCCTGTCGAATGCTCCAGAAATGAGAAAAGAGCCTGCAATGCAACATGAAAGAGTCAGAGGCGGAGGTCACCTTCCCAAGCCAAGCGCCTTCTCCTCTGGTGAGGTCAACGCAGGCTGAGGATGCATTTGTGAGACAGGAGTACGGCTCACTCACGACACCGAAACACCTTCCTGGTGTGGCTCAGTGATCCCCAACCAATTACAGCTGATTCTTGTTGATTCACAGTAATTATGTTCTATAAAGTTATTGCAAACACTGAATTAGCAAATACTGAGCCTTTGTTCCTAGAGGAAATACAGGGATATGTTCCTGCGAGACTCTTGTCCATCAGTATAGAACCTTATTTTATGTGTGTTTCTCTTTATTTATTTTTTTTCTTTATTTCAATAGCTTTTGGGGCTTCAACTAGTTTTGAGTTACATGGTTGCATTGTATAGCGGTGAAGAAGTCTGGGCTTGAAATGTACCCACCACCCCCAACTGTGCACGTAGTACCCCACAGGTGATTTTTTTCGTCCCTCCACCCATGTGTTTCTATTTAAAGACACCTTATTTAATATGTGTCTTTGATTACATTGAACTCACATTTAGCAGCACTGTAACTCATGCCTGAACAAAGCTTATTCAACACGTATTTTCTCTGTAAAGCACACCACAGCATTCTTGTAGTTAGGACCACTAGATAGCACTTTAGCACTGTGCTTGGGGACATATTTTAAACAGTAAAATTACCAACAAAAAGGACAAAAGTGTGAGCCAAAAGTAGCACTAAACAGATCACCGAAAGGACACTTTACCACGTGAGAGTTGAAACAAGCAGGCAAGGGGCTGTCACCTTATGCTGCCCCAGCTAAGAATGTGCGCCTAGGGTGACTCAAATGTTTTGCTGCTCTGCATGTCTGAGAGTGACCTCAAAAGTGCCAGGAGTGTTGATTCGAGGGTTACAGAGATTTTCGTGAGTAGGCGAATTTGCGAACACAGAATCCAAAATAATAATGACTGACGTGCGTGATTCTGAGCCCAGTAAAGGCAAGGATAGAAGCTGGTGGGTGCCTCATAGTGGGAGTATGACTTAGACAACAGATACCTCTAAAGAGGGAAAGTTGTTCAGACACGCCCTTGCATTTCTCAAGCCAAGCTCCAGTTGCATGTGTGCTGGCTGGGGCACCCCAGACACAAAAAGCAAGCCACACTTCTCCGTATGAGAGAGCATACATTTGGCTCCTGGGTGTCTAGGGCAGCCACTTCCTCATTGGGGCTAGTTGCTCATGGGAGCTCTCTGCACCACCCCCGTTCACATCCATGCCCCTTCGTCTGGCAATAGTTTCCCAGTTTCTTGTGGGAAAACACCCCTGGCCTACGCTCAGTCTCTCTGCGTCAGAGGGTATTCATCTCACTCCCTAGCTCTGGGGGTGAAGCAAGGTACCCAGACCTGACCATCCAGAGCCTTTCATCCACTGCTAAGTGATTGGTTCAGAGGCGGTGTGTGTCCCAGGCTGAGCCAACGGGAGTCTTCCCTGGCACCATCAGACTGACCGTCTCTCTTTCTCCAGGACTACCAGTGGTCAGAATCGGGTTGGCCTGGACCTCCAGAAACCATCTTTGCCTCCTTGCGGGGACTGGCCAATACAAGAGGGAAGCTGAGTTGAGAGACAGTGTGGTTTGGAGTCTCTGAACCCAGCCATGCCTGAATTCAGAGCTGCTTCTGGATGTTCCCATTGTAGGAGTTAATAAATATCTTTTGTGGCTTAAGCCTTGTTGAGCTGAGCTTCTGCCATTGATAAGAGTGTGCCTTTGAATTTCCCTCTTGGCTTTTTTGTTATCATGGGGAAAAACATGTTCCCTTGCTGTAGGCATCATTGGAAATCGCCTCTCTGTCTGTACTTAGAAAAGTCCGTTTGAGTGGAACATGAAGAACTCTGCCCAGCATTCCCACAGGAGTGGAGTCCTGTGTGTTAGTTACTCACTGTCTCTGGCAAAGCAGCAGGAGCCGACAGAACCTTCGTGGCCCTGCATCAAAGTCACACAGGCTCCATGGTTTCGAAACTCCCCTGTGTGGACGTTCCATATTTTTAAGCTTTTATCCCAGGAGCTTGTACACAGGAAATGGCCGCTGAAGGTAAAACAGCAGTTCGAGATTGCATTGGAATGTGCCCTGAAACACAGGTGGAAGGGATTCACACATTAGCCTGCACTCCAGGAGGACCTGAAGACATGGGCAAAGGGCCAGGAGAGGACCTCATCTCCTGTGAGCTAATGGACATCATGCCTTTGGTCAGTGCCTCCCATGGTGCAGATGTGAATTGCTCAAAATGTATCACACTATCCCAGGGCTTCTCAAACACACCAGTTCTGGCATTTTTCTGGATAATTCTTTGTTGTAGAGGTCTGTCCTACATATTGTAGGCTGTTTAGCAGTGTCCCTGGCCAATACCCAGTAGATATTAGAAGCCTCCACACCCAGGTGAGATTTTTTTTTTTTTTTTTTTGAGTTGGAGTGTCACTCTGTCGCCCAGACTGGACTGCAGTGGCCGCTCCCGGCCACCGCAGCCTCCACCTACTGGGCTCTGGCGATCCTTCTGCCTCAGCCTTCCAGGTAGCTGGAACTACAGGTGCACGCTACCACGCCCGGCTAATTTTTTGATTTATTGTAGAGATGAGGTCTCACCAAGTTGCCCAGGCGGGTCTCGAACCCGCAGGCTCAGGCAGTCCACTCACCTCAGCCTCCTAAAGCGCGGGATTACAGGCTGAGCCACCGAGCCCGGCTCAGTTGAGAATATTACTCAGCAATATTCAGAGTGGCTATGGCTTAAGAAAAAAGCAGCTGAAAAGGCTGTCCACGGTGGTTGACGGATTAACAGCCTTCAGGCTTGGGTCTGGTTTCTTGTTTTTGTTTTTGAGTCACTCTGTTACCCAGGATGGAGTGGAGTGGCACGCTCTCAGCCACCACAGCCTCGACCTGCTGGGTTCAGGCTATCCTTTTGCCTCAGCCTTTCAAGTGGCTGGGATTTCAGGTGCGCACCACCATGCCCGGCTAATTTTTTTAGTTTTATTATAGAGATGAGGTCTCGCCAAGTTGCCCAGCCTTTCAAGTGGCTGGGACTTCAGGTGCGCACCACCATGCCCGGCTAATTTTTTTAGTTTTATTATAGAGATGAGGTCTCGCCAAGTTGCCCGGGCTGGTCTCAAACTCCTGGGCTCAGGCAATCTTTCCACCACCGCCTCCCAAAGTGCTGGGATTATAGGTGTGAATCACCACACCTAGCTCAGGCTTGATTCTGGATCGCCCTTACACAGAGGGCACTCCTGCTCCCTGTCTTTCTCGCCATGATGTCGGGCTTAAGTCTGCCTCTCCCATCCCACCTCCCTCCCACTCACCCAGCTGCTGTCCCTCTTCCGCCTTCATTCTTTATCTCCTTCTGTTCTCATCTATCTTAAATGCCATTCAAGAATATTTTAATGTTGTGTATTTAATCAACCAAATTTGGGGTTATTCATTAAAATCTGTAAATGTCTTCCTTTTTGGAAAAGAATCTCAAATTGTTCGCGTGCTTGTTAACTCAGTGTGTTTTTCCCGTGATTCTCACCTCCTCTTCGAAGCAGAGTTTTTCACGTGAACCTATGAACACAACTGTGCCTCTCTGAGTAGCCTGGATCATAAAGTCAATCGTTTTCCCTGTAGAAAAAGTTGAACAGAACTGCTTCCTAAAGCTCAGGTCGTAGTTTTAGACCCTGTCTTGGTTCTTTGTGAGGCACAGACTGAACAAGGCCACAGGAGAAGTATCAACTTCCCAGGGTGTCCAAGATAAATCTTTCTCAATCCCGTATCTAGTAGGCTAAGAACCACCCTGGCGTGTCCTGCATTTTGTCAACTTGTCTTTCCTGGAATCTAAACACTGACGTTGGGCTTTAAGCCAGGGCTATCTCTATTTTCCAGGAGGGACTCTTATTTCAAATAAATTCCACTTCTCATAAAAGGCCATTTTATTTGTAAAAAGTTTGGAGACAGCGCTTATGTTGCACTTGCAGTTATGGCCAAGATGGCATCCATGTACTTCTTCCTATTCCTCGGCTTAGAACAGCTAACAACCCTGGATGTTATTTGTTAACCAAACATGAGAGACTATGAAAGGTGGAGAGAGAAGACAGACCAGGTAGGAATCTTGGGACCAAAGCACAATATGTTGTGAGTTCCTTGGTTTTCTTTTGTGTATCATATATTTTGGGCTAAGTTCTAGGGAAGCCTGTAACCAAAAACTAAACTAAAAACCATAATGAGGGAAGAAGAATAAAAGGGAGGGGTGGAGGCCAAGAATATCCTGTTCTCCATAGCCAAATGGCCAGGAAAGGGATAGCCTTGGAAGACAGAAAACTTTTAGGTAACTTCCCTACTCCAGCCAAGCACCTCAGGAAAAATTGCATCCCACGCCCTCATCCATCAGCAAAAGCAGAATGGGGCACCCCTGCTGCCACCCTTGCCAGACTGCACCAAAGTGGCCTGCTAAAACAGTAGATTTCAATCAGACCCTAAATCTCAATGTCCAGGATGCAACTGAAAAGCACTCATCCTATCAAGAGCCAAAAAAATATTGACATGAATGAGAAAAACAATCAACAGATAAGTTCACTAAGATGACACAGATGTCAGAATGATCTGACAGAGTTTTAAAGCAGCCATCATAAAAATGCTTACATGGACAACTATAATCATGTTTGAAACAAATGAGAAGATAAAAAATCTCAGCAAAGAAATAGAAGCTATAAGAACCAATGGAGGCCAGGCTCGGTGGCTCTGCCTGTAATCCTGTGCTTTGGGAGGCTGAGGTGAGTGGATTGCCTGAGCCCGCAGGTTCGAAACCCACCTAGGCAACTTGGTGAGACCTCATCTCTACAATAAATAAAAAACTTAGCCGGGCGTGGTAGCACGCGCCTGTAGTTCCAGCTCCTTGGAAGGCTGAGGCAGAAGGATCGCCGGACCCCAACGGGTCGAGGCTGTGGTGGCTGGGAGCGTGCCACTGCACTCCAGTCTGAGCGACAGAGTGAGACTCAAACTCAAACTCAAAAAAAAAAAAAAAAAAAAAGAACCAATGGAAATGTTAGAACTAAAAAATATAATAAATGAAATTTTTAAAAACTCACTGGATGACTCAACAGCAGAATAGAGAGGAAAGAAGAAGGATTAGTGAACATAAGACAGAACAATATAAATGAACCCATATGAACAATAGAGAAAAAACAGACTGGTGAGAGAAAACAGAGCCCCAGGAATCGGTAGGACTATCACAAAAAATCATTAGAGTAACAGAAGAGCACGAGAGAGAAGGCAGGGCTTACAAAGTCATCAAAGAAATAGTAATAATGACTGAACTTTCACTACATTTGGCAAAAGATATAAGCCTACAGACTCAAGAATCTAATAAATCCCAAACAGGATAAATCTAAAGAAATCTATACCCAGATACCCCATAGTTAAACTTCTAAAAACCAAAGACAATGAAAATATCTTGAAAGCAGCCAGACAGAAGTGACACCTTATCTAAAGAGGAAAAACAATTTGAATGATAGTGGATTTCTCATCAGAAACCATAGAGGCCAGAAGAAAGTGGCATGACAGGCTTTTCTGTTTTTTTGAGTTGGCGTCTCACTCCATCGTCCAGGCTGCAGTGCAGTGGCACCCTCACGACCACCCCAGCATCGGCCTACTGGGCTCTGGCGATCCTTCTGCCTCAGCCTTCCAAGTAGCCGGAACTACAGGTGTGCACTACCACGCCCAGCTAATTTTTGAGTTATTGTAAAGATGAGGTCTCGCCAACTTGTCTAGGCTGATCTTGAACCCATGGGTTCAGGCAATCCACTCTCCTCAGCCTCCCAAAGTGCTGGGATTACAGGCTGGCATGACTGTTTTCAAGTGCTGAGAGAAAAGAACAGTCAACCCAGATTTCTATATCCTGTGAAAATATCCTTCTGTAATGAAAGGGAACTCAAGACATTTTCAGATAAAGAAAAACTAAGATAATTTGCCTGCAGACTTACCTTAGAACAATGACTAAAATCATTATTTTTAAATGAAAATAGTTTAAAAAAGGAAACTTGAAACTTCAGAAAGGAAAACAAAACATGGTAAACAAAAAATTTGTGTAAATAGTATAGACATTTCCTTCTCCTTTCTAAATTATGTTTGACAAAGCAAACAATTGTAAAAAGTACTTAATGTTTACTCTTCGCTGGGACTCTAACAAATACATGTATCTCAATATTCATAGCAATATTATTCACAATAGCTGAGAAGTAGAAACAACCCAAGTGTCCGTCAATAGATGAACAGGTAAATAAAATGTTGTATAAACATAAAAAGGAATGAAGTTCTGATGCATGCTACAACATGGATGCACCTTGGGGACATTGTCTTAAGAGAAATAAGCCAATCACAAAATAATATGTGATTCCACTTATACAAAATACCTAGAATGAGCAAATTCAAAAAGACAGAAAGTAAAATAAAGGTTACCAGGAGCTGGGGCTCGGGAGAGTGGGAAGCTATTGTGTAATGAGTACAAAGTTTCGGTTTGGGATGATGAAATAGTTTTGGAAATAGATAGTGGTGATGGTTGCACAACATTGTAAATGTAATTAAAGCCAGTGATTTGTACACTTAAAAATGGTTAAAATATCAAGTTTTTTGTTGCATACATTTACAATTTTTAAAAATAATACAATATCTCCCAAACCACTGAATTTATTTTAAATGGGGGAACTGCATGGTTTGTGAATTCTATCTCAATAAAGTTGCTAAAAAATGGAAGGGAGGGAGGGGTGGG